TATATATATATATATATATATATATATATATATATATATATATATATATATATATATATATATATATATATATAAGATTATATATATATGATATAGATAAATAGGTAGATTGTTTGACTGATTGATAAATGGACAAATATATATATATATATATATATATATATATATATATATATATATATATATATATATAATTTGTCCATTTATCAATCAGTCAAACAATCTACCTATTTATCTATATCTCTATTGGTCTGTCAGTCAATCTACCGATCTACCCATCTCTTTAACTATATACTTTTCTGTTCATCTATGTATCTACTTCTATCTCTATAAATCGATATCTTTATTAGTCTATCTAATTTTTATCCTATCTATCAATTTATCTATCACTCTCTTAAATCCATCAATTTCTTTCATTTTCTGTGCATCTCTGCCTAATCTCGGCTCCCGTTTCCCCCTTCACAGTCGATTTCAGAAACTCTAGCGTGTTCAGAGGCAGTCATTCAAGTGCGCGTCAATGCTGCTATTCATTCAGTCTTTTGCAGTCTCACTGGGTCGATATTCATTACATTTCTGTGCATGTTTTTTGTATGTTTTTTTTTTTTTTTTTTGGGGGGGGGGTTGAGGGTGGAGGGGAGAAAGAGAGAGGTGAGGTGGGGGAGGTGCTGGTCTAATTCTTTCGTCTTTTTTTTATTGGAGTTTTGTTTTCGTTTTTTTTTCTTTCTTTGTCTTTCTCTTTCACTTCTCTCTGTCTCTCTGTCTCTCTGCCTCTCTGTCTCTCTCTCTCTCTCTCTCTCTCTCTCTCTCTCTCTCTCTCTCTCTCTCTGTCTCTCTCTCTCTCTGGCTCTCTCCGGCTTCTCCCTCATCATCATATCTCTTTTCTCTCTCTCTCTCTCTCTCTCTCTCTCTCTCTCTCTCTCTCTCTCTCTCTCTCTCTCTCTCTCTCTCTCTCTCTCTCTCTCTCTCCTTCTCTCTCCTTCTCTCTCCTTCTCTCTCCTTCTCTCTCCTTCTCCCTCCTCCTCTCCTCACTCGCGCTCTCGACTCTATTCTCCACTTCCTTCTTCCCTCTCTCAGTCTCACTCTCTCTGTCCCTCCCATTCAGGCCTTTATATTTTCTCTCCTTCAATTGCGAGAAAGACGACGATCCTAATAATCTTTCGAAGATACTTTGATGTCGGATTTCCCTCGCTCTCTTCCCCTCCCCCCTCTCTTTCCCCCTCCCCCCCTCCGTCCCTTCAATTAAGGCTCAGTGGAAGAAGGACGAGAGGGAAGGCGAGGGGACCAAGAGAGGGCGAAGGAGGGGAAGAAGAAAGGAGGAGAGAAGGGGTAACAGGGAGGGGGACCACGAGAACCCACATGATGAAAATAAAGGAGTCACCCCTCGACTTCTTAGCTCGGTGCATGAAAGCACGAAGGTATAATTCCCATTTTCCTTTCATTTCCGTTTTCTTTTTCTTCGTCGTTCTTTAATTTCGCATAATCAAATTGTGGGACTTATGTGAAGAGGTTTTAAAAGGATGATACACTATCATTACCAATATTCATAAGAACTGAAATTATTTTGTTAAATTGTGCTATGTAGTTAATTATCAAACATTTTTTTTTGTTTGTTTTTGCGCTCGTTGAAGTTAAAACGTACATGTCTAGACTCTGTGCGTACATACATGTGTACGTATACGTGAACATTTATTCACACATGCACATTTGAACGAATCTCTGATGCCGTCACACACACATTCAATATGCATGAACCTACTGAAACTGGATAGTGCCCGGAGGAAGCCGGGGGGGAAAAAAACGGGCGAAATGAAGGGAATAAGAGAAGAGAAGAGAAGAAGACGGACGGAGGAGGAGGGATGGAGGGGAGGGAAGAAAGAAAATATGTGGGGGGAGAGGGAGGGAGGAGGGAAGGAGAGAGGGAGGGAGGGAGGGAGGGAGGGAGGAAGAGAGAGGAAAAAGGGATGAAAGAGTGAAGTGAAAAAGCAAGAGAAGGGGGGGGGAGGATGGAGGAAGAGAAAGAGAGTGAAAGAAGGAGAGAAGTAAGAAGGGACGAGACAAGAGAAAGGAAGGGAGAAGGAAGGGGGTAGGAAGGTAGGAAGAGGGTTCGAAGGGGGGTGGGGGGAGGGGGAGAAGGTCAGCTATTATCGGCATTATCGGTAACTGATAAAACCTCTCACCGACTTCATCTCATCAAGATCCCCTTAATGGTGCACTTCCCACGGCCGCTGATATTGCGACTGCATGAGTAACACGTGTACGACTGCAACATATGTACATTGCAAGATACGAACAAAAAAATGGACTAATGAAATACCGCGACAAAACGTTGATTTGGAATAAAATGTTTTCTCTGTCTAAGGTAATTGCTATGCTAATCCTAAAAAACACTGGTATATAAATATCTAGTATTTGGTATACAAATGACGTTCGCATGAAAAACAGGCACTCAGCAACTGTTTTGAAAATGTTTTCACAACGTTGGATGTCAAATACAGTCACTCTGTGACATTCAAAATGAAGCAATTAAACAGACCAAGCGAGCGAGGGAATGCGAAAGAGAGAGAGAGAGAGAGAGAGAGAGAGAGAGAGAGAGAGAGAGAGAGAGAGAGAGAGAGAGAGAGAGAGAGAGAGAGAGAGAGAGAGAGAGAGAAAGAAAAGAAGCGAGATGAATACCACAGACAAATAAATAAATATTCAATATACTGATGTCCCAGGCAATTCATTGCTGCCCTTACTATCTTAAATTCAAAAAAGTAAACAATATCCCTATGTTCGTACAACCACCTGAATTTCTGCTTCCAATATCATTACATTTTTCGTTCGCGTAGACCAAAGGAAACTTCAGTTCTCTCG